CATCTATTTGTTAGCCCCTGACTAGAATAAATCAACTGAATCACTGATTGATCCAGTGAGTCTACTCTATTTGCAACTAACCAGCAGATTTAGCCTATAGATTTTCCACAAACTCACTCCACAGTTAAATGTACATGGGATTGCAACCTTAAATTCTGAACTGAAAGAAAAAGTTACCAAGTTCAGAATGTCTTGCACCTCTGAGCTACTGTGTAACAATAAGCTTCACATTGTGGTAGCTACTGTTACACAGAGAGCTGTTATGATACATAATGTGCTTGACATATTTTCCTCTTCATCAGAACAAGCCTCTCTTTTTTGCCATTTGAGACAATGTGAAGAAAACAGCTCCAAACAAATTATAAACATCTCAAAACTACTGTACTGCTTACAGCACTACTACACACAATGATTTAAAGTGTCTCCAAGATGGAGAGGTCCCCAACCCCCAGTCTGTGGCCCTGTGCTGGTCCATGGGCTCAACCAAACCGGGTTGTGGAGACAGACCTCCCCCCCCGCACATGCATCCGGTCTGTGGCCCTGTGCTGGTCCATGGCGTCAACCAAACCGGGCTGTGGAGACAGACCTCCCCCCCCCCGCACATGCACTCACCCCTGCAGAGTTGATTTACGCATGTGCACATGCTCCAACACACCTGTGCAAGCGCCACACTGCTGTTTGCGCATGAGCACACCCACAAGCACTGTGCCGCTGTTTGCACATGGATGCTCGCTGGTGCATGCGCATGAGCACGGGGGGTGCCCCACTGTGCCGCTGTTTGCACATGGATGCTCGTTGGTGCATGAGCACGGGGGGTGCCCTGCCTTCCCTAGCCAGTTCGTGGGGTACAAAGGTTAGGGACCCCTGCTCTATAGTACATGAGCAAAAAAGAAAAAGAAAAAAAGAAAACAACACAAGACAGTATGTAATCAGAATCCTATTATGAGTATATGTCAGAGTAAGTCAGTGTACGTCACAGTGATGAATTACCATTAAGATGTCAGTCCCTGTATTCCTCATTGTGCACCTAAGAATATAAGCAACAATGTCCTAACTAGCAGTAATTCACTGCTGTGATTTATGCTGTTTGACTTACGCCAGTCTATAAGTAACACAATTCTTACCATATTCTTTTAAAGCAGACGTTTGTATGGGCCAGCTCCACATCTTCAGTATCCTCAACACAGAGACCTCTACCACCCACACCCATATTGGAATGAATACCCTATGATTAATGGGTGGCACCATTCCTCCTCCAAGGGATCATGCATTAAGCGATCTTAGCAAAATGTTAATGAGTTTCCATTTTGGCTGTTAAGTCTGGGTTTTGCCTGCTGTGCTAACAAATGAGTCTGAGGGCCAAACTGTCATTTAGCTAAAGCACCTATCATTTGACAAATGGACTGGCAAACTAAACAAAAATGCAATGGTGAGCCTGTCTCTTCCTATCCATTTCTATTCTGACAGGAGGGAGAAGGGCGGTTTCACTGGACCTATCACTAGAGAACCAGAGACTTTGGCAATCTGTTGGAGAACTGCCATTTTCACTGTCTACAATCTTCCATACTGACACAGTACCAGTGCATGGCATTGTGGGTATATCTTTCACTCACTGGAGCTGTGGGAAAGAAAGCCTACAACAGGAGCAACATCAATCAGTTGGGAGCCCTCAGCAGCTCTCTTGAAGAGGACTGATACCAGCTTCAGCCTGATAACACAAATATCTTACAAGTCTTTAAAATGATAAAAAAAAATTCCATGACTACAAATGCAGATTCTGATGTTTATCTCAGCTATACTTTATAAGCACGTTTGTATGTGACAGAAAACACAACAAGGAGTCCCTTCATCTTGAAGACTACACATTTTATTTGGCATAAGCTTTTGTGAACTGCAGTTTGCTTCTTCAGATGAATCTGTCCAATGCACATTATGCCATAGGCTAGAGTCTACAAATGTTTATGCCGAATAAAACTTGAAATGCCTGGTGGTTTCCTCTATAAGCAAGGAATATCTAAAACACCAAGAAACAACACAATTAAGGAAACATGGACATACACTTTAGAGATTCCCCCCCTTAATTCTATAACAAATTCTTAACCAAGAAGGAAGTTAACCTTGGCTTTCTTGATAGAGAATCACAAACCCCCAGAGAAACAAAAATATTTACTGAAGATCACCCAGCTTCACACAAACAAAGCCTCATTAATTTTTTTTATGAGAAACTAACTTTGCATATGATATGGTGTGCACTTTTCAGCTGAACATCTGTTTTGCTGGTAGTTCTGCTGGCAAGATCATCAATAATGCAAGACTAGTTATCAAGGGCAAACCACACAAAAGATGTAGTTTTGCCCCTGAATGCATGCGGATTTGTTAGCCTTGCATATTCATGTTGCCAGTGACGGTGATCAAGTTCTGTTGCCTGTTTATATGCTGCAAGGTAAGGCTTAAAGTGCACTTATTTAAAAATTATAAAGTAAAATCCATTGGCTAAAGAAGCAACTTCTTCCTCTGTGAATCAAAATGCCTCATATATTTTTTCAAAAATGGCTGGAGCTGAGGAAAAGGTTACAGATTGTGCCAAATAACCAATGTAGCCCTGGCAAGTAAATCAAAAGGACAGTCTGGTAATCTAGTTCAAGCACCTGTGGTAGAAAGGCCTTATTCATTAGGATTGCATTTAGTCAGAACTCTCCACTATAAACTGTCCGTCTTGGGTGTCCCTGCATGGCATAGCCCATAGCTTCTCTGAATTACTCAAGCCCCTTCTCCACGACAAGGCAGCAATCCGTGAAGGGGGAAATAAGGACTAATTTCACTAATTTATAAAGCATTCTGGATAAATAATATGGTAGCAGCACAGGATCACATATACTTTGGGAAACAAATTTAAACATCAACATACCAGAAAATATTTGGGAAAAATTGGAACACTCAACCATACAAACTGATAACAAAATCTGATTTGTTATCTGATTGATAACAAGAACTGATGTTAAAAGTAGTCCACAAGTGGCACTTATGTCCTACCAAATTACATAAAATTAATAGATACCGTGGTGCCTCGCTTAACAATTGCCCGCATTATGACAAAATCACTGTACGATGATCTTTTTGCAATCGCAATTACAATCGCAAAATGATGGTCTAAATGGGGAAATTTCACTTAGCGATGATCGGTTCCCTGCTTTGGGAACCAATTTTCGCTTTATGATTATCAAAAACAGCTGATTGTCGGGTTTTCAAGATGGCCGCCGGGTGCTTAAAATGGCTCCCCGCTGTGTTTAGGGACGGATTGCTCGCTATACAGGCAGCAAAAATGGCCGCTGTATGGAGGATCTTCACTGGACAGTGAGTTTTTACCCCACTGGAATGCATTGAACAGGTTTCAGTGTGTTTCAATGGGATTTTTAATTTCGTTTTACGATGTGTTCGCTTAACGGCGATTTTCTTGGAACGGATTATTATCGTTAAGTGAGGCACCACTGTACCAGAATTGTGCTGGAGTAAGTGTGGGCATAAATGTATGTTAGAACACCTATGGTTAGTTTGCCTGAAAGTAGAAGTATTCTGCTAGGTAGTAATTAATTAGCTAGAAAAAATAAATTAAAAAAACACTCTCAAATTAAACTATATTATCATTCTCACTATTTACCAGAGGAAATGAAAATTTATCAAATAAAGTATTGGTGGCAACTCTTATAGGGGTGGCGTAGAATGAAATTGTCCAGTATTGGAAAGATGCTCAGGACCTCACCTCGCAAAGATGCGTATATGAATAAAATATGGGCAGTGGCGCTGATGGAGAAACTGACTAATTAGGTAAGATTATACAGAGGGAAGATTAAACAAGATAACTTTATGAGGATAAGGTACTCTCCCCACTGAAATCCGATACTGAGTCAAAAAATAAAGTAAACCAAGTGGACAATGGGTTGGACTGTTGATTAGTTTAAGCGGCATTAGCTAGACATAAAAATGCAATAATGAGCCATGGAAGCAACTATGTGAAAATAGAAAGGGACAATGTAAACACTGTGTATATCTATGAAGGTATAAGAGTTTATGAATAAGAAAGGTACTATTATTGTAGTACAACAGGTATTGTTATGCTGTTCTTAATGAATTGATAAAAATAAAATTAAGTTTAAAATGTATTTTTAAAAAAGTTAGAATAGGCCCATTTTGAATCCATGGAACTTACTGAGAAGCAGACTCACCAAATCCCCATTGATTCAATGGCCCTATTCTGGTGCTATTTGCTGTGCTAAGCCGGAGTATTTTGACCATTATTCAAAATAAAAGAGGGCACTATTTACACAAAGAGTCAGGTCATCTGTTGTTGGAGCTGAAGGAACACATGCATGAGTGCCCCCCCGTGCACACATACATGCCCGGCACTGCATGCACGCCCAACACCCACAGACGATCGCCCACTCCCCCATGTACTCAAACTTCCTGCCTGCCCCCGCACACATGCATACACCTGTCTGCCCCTGCATACATGCAGATGCATGCAGACACCCCCACACACTCACTTGCCCCCCACATGCATGCACAGATGCACGCACACGCCTCCTGCACGCACAGCTCCCGCATGCACAGACGGACACCTGCCACCCCACCCCCCAGTCCTTGCGAGAATGGTCTTCAACAAAACCAGCCCCTGGTATTAAAAAGGATGTTCTACAGGATCCTCAATCCTTTAGCTATTTGAGCAATCACAGGAGGCTGCAGGGTAGGCCATCAGTCTCCATTTTTCCTCCAACACACAAATATATTGTGATACTAGTTGTCTTTTATCTAGTGAAGATTTTAGTGAAAAGCTTTTGCACACCAAGCATACACACTGCATCCAAACTGGCCAGGTACAAAAGCCCCATAGTGTTTTTCCACATTTCTAAAACAATATTTACACTCTAAGCTGTAATAATACAGACAATATTTGAGACTAGCCAACATATACTGAGTAATCAATTTTTAGAAGCTACATTTACCTTTTTTGAATTTATGCACAGGAAGCTTCTTCAGCTGATCTTTTTGAAGCCGATTTCTTCTTGCTCTGTGTCTGTCCTGGACAAATTTTGTGATCTTGAAAGAGGGAGACATAAATACAAGGTGGAAATTTGAGATTTTTTTAAAAAGCACATAATAACTCAGTTCCTTTTTGTTTTGAGAACAGCTATGCTTAAAAAGGAAAGATATATTAAGCCAATTGGAAATATGAATAATTGTGGAAATAAGAAGCTTGCACATCCATGTCCAAACACCAACATCCCTTGCCCCCATAATCATCTATAATCATAAGTAACAAAGTTACTATTTCTTATAGTAACTTTGTTACTTATGATTATAGATGATTATGAGGGCAAGGGATGTTGGTGTTTGGACATGGATGTGCAAGCTTCTTATTTCCACAATTATTCATATTT